AAGCTTTTGAAGAGACCAAAAATTCGTTGCGGCATAGCTTTGATGAGTGAGTTTCTGGTATGTATTGTTCAAAAAATTGCTCAGACAAAGTGGACAAGTACTCCGTATTATGGAGTACTCCGTAAGCAAAGTACGGAGTAATATACTCCCAGACAAGTAGAGGCACGTAGCCATTAAGCAAAACCGTACATCAAGCCACCAAATCATCATTTAAAAACACCTGAAATGAGTGTTTCTCTCACTAAAATGAAATATTATCTCCGTCACTATGGGCTTTGTCAAGTCTAAAGTGGGTGAGAATAAATACACCTAAAAATGTGTTATTAATATCAAGGTTGTTAAAATCGTATTTTTGAATCGAATCGGTAGATGTTTTTAAAAATCTAATCGTAAAATCGAATCGCAAATCTTAAGATTTTACCAAACATATTTTAATAATTATAAAATAAATAAATATTAAAATTAAGTTGCAACTTAATGATATTATATCATTTCATTACATAAAACTATACCTAAAATGTCAAAAGCAAGATTTATAAACTATTTTTATAATGTAAATGTATTGAATAATAACATTAAACATATGTAAAACATATAAATAATCAAGTAACACAAGAATCCATTACTTTTATAAATAAACGATTCATATTATTATTATTGGAATTATGTATCAATTTGTAGTTGTTAATTTTAATAAAATTGAACCATTTTCACCAAAAACAACTTATTACGATTTTGCTACGATTTTGCTACGATTTTATACGATTCTACACGATTTTAGGACGTTTTTTTACGATTTTGTACGATTTTATGATTTTACGATTTTACCTGCGATTTGAATCGCTTTATTAATGTAGAATCGTAAAATCGTACGATTTTACGATTTAAATCGAGATTTTAACAACCTTGATTAATATTTATGCAGAGAAGAGAGAAATATACAGAATCACAAATTAATTATTTTAATAAGAAAATGACAAAGATATTTGGGATAACTACTCCCTCCGTCCCAGGGAGAAGTTCCCGGTTTGACTTTCACACATATTAAGGAAATAAAGTTACTGAGGGGTAAATTTTACTGTTTGGCACTGTTTCGACACTGTTTGGCACTGTTTCAACACTGTTTGGCACTGTTTTGCACTGTTTGTTACTGTTTGGATGTAGGATAACTTTCCATTTAGGGAAATGGGAACTTTTTGTTGGGACTGCCAAAAAAGGAAAGTGGGAACTTGTCCCTGGGACGGAGGTAATAAAAAGGGAAAGTTGGCAAAATCCAATTAGACAAAGGGAGTAAGTTGTACTGTGACCGGGACCTGTAATACCAAACTGGGTCCAGCCAGTTATTTTTACTTTTAATTATTTTTTTAATGGAAAAATGCCAATTAATGGGTCCGGTTACTATTTGCAAAAAATCAATTGAGACCTTGTACTTTAACTTCGATCAATCAAGTCCCTAAACTATCAAAAAAAAAAAAAATCATCACCGGTGCGCGTAGCTCAACTGGTAGCGAGGGAGTACCACAAGGGTTAGGTCTCGGGTTCGAATCCCGGCAACTGCGATGAGGGGTTACTATGCTGAAAAATGCATAGGGCTTCTGCAAGTACTGGGGACAGAGCCTCACTCTCTATCTGTCAGATTGTGATTATAGTCCAATTTACATCCTCCCATCATGCCGTCCGGTCGGTGTTGAGGGGCCCTCAGGGATGGGGTGTCATCCTTTATCAAAAAAACCATCAAATCCTCTATTAACGTGGCTGTTTACGTGGAGATTATTAATGAAGTCATTAGAGTTTTCTTCTACGGTGCATTCAAAATATACAGAAGGTACCACCGTACCGGTGCATTAACATTTTGGCCAATCACATTACCGGTGATTTTGGACATGTGAAGAGGACTTGGAGTGTTTTTCTTGTTCCAATAATGTAAGGATCGTATACTTCCGTCTCCGGCTCAGGTCTTTCAACACACACTCTCACACACCACACTTAGGAGGAGGCTATAGCACACACTTATTTTTCTCTCCACTTAGACCTCTCTACACTCACACAAAGGAGGAAGAAGAAGTGAGCTCTGCTCTCTCACACAAAGGATATACTCACGCAGGCTGCTTCAACAAGGGAAGAAGCAAGGCTTCAAATAGGCTGCCAAGGGAGTTCACGGGTGAAGCTAGACAAAAGACAATCACATGTTACCAATACAAAGGAGAGTCACATGTATAGGCCAAGACAAAGTGATGCAGCGTACAGGAAACAGAGAAGGGGCCAACCAGTGGATTAAGTCAAACCACTCAAAATAGGTATATATTTGATCAGGATATATACCAAAGAAAAGGTATCCAAGGGAGAATAAAATAGAGTGTGCAAGCCTCAACAAATAAAGTGGAAGGGAGGCCTTGGTAGGACCAATACCTCCAACAAATAAGAAACGGGAATCCTTCAATTTTTAAAAATGCCTGCCATCCATTACGTCACATAGGTTGTTTGATTGGCGTCTCATTTCATGAAGGAAAAGAGATTGCAGAGAATTGACGGAGCAGCAGTTAACAAACATTGAAATATTACAGTTATTTATCAGGGGCTATGGTGAAAATAATAAAATTTATTATACTAATGACTCGGATGTAACGAGGCTTCAGAATAGAATCTGATTGGCTACCCAAGTTAAGATACCGGTACATCAATAATTTTTGAAAACGTTGATGTAGTTTCGGAGGAGGACGAGCTGGTACAATATGAGTGAAAACTAAATTGTTCTTGTTACTTCATTCCAGAACTACGTAGAAGCGGGTGGAGTAACAAATAATATTTATGTTTGTACCATTCTCTACTCAACTCTAAGGAATGCGGTCAGAAACCTTGGGCCAGAAGAAACTGGCTGGGACACCAAAGCAACTCTCCAAACTAGGAAAAGAACCGCCATAGAATAAAACAAACACAACAATAACATAACATAAACAAATTGGATGCGAACCCTACCAAAGAATGAAACTAGGCCAATTGATGAGAACCCTACCGAAGCCGACTCTCATCCCCACGATCGAGAGCGCCACCTCATTCCTTTATCTCAAAATGTTGTTCTCAAACTTCATAGAAACAACTCTTTTCCTACTAAAACTTGCCTTTTTAAAAATGTTCTCCGACTAAAAAAAACTCAAAGTGAGAAGGAATCACGAATAGATCAGAAGGCGCCGCAATATTTGCAATTATGATTTTTTTTGTAGTCTCTGCATCCGAAAAGTCAGAGAACAACAATCTTGACGGAGGAAGAAAGCCCTAATATGATAGGTTAGTAATTGTTTTAAATACTAACAATGCATTTGTTAGTACTTGTATAACCTAACGAATATAATACTAACACCTTATGTCATTATTATTATTATTATTATTATTATTATTATTATTATTTTTATTATTATTATTATTATTATTATTATTATTATTATTATTATTATTATTATTATATTACTAACATGAAAATGATACTAACATCTAATTAAATATAACCTAATGAATACTCCGTATAATACTAAGGATGTTTTTACTTGGATGTAATTCATCCCAGACCAGATCAGATCAGACTAGACCAGACCAGATTTGGGTAGTTATAAAAATACAAAGAAATCAGACCAGACCAGTTCAGACCAGACCAGCAAATTAAAAACATCCTAACATCTTCATGTTAGTACGTATATTACTAACATGAATATAATACTAACATCTTAATACGGAGTATATTACTAACCTAACAAGTCGTGATTACTAACATGCATTTTGGTTAATAAAAACTAAAGTGACCTATTATACTATTTTCTTTCTCATGCACGTATGATAGTTCACTCAAATAGGTCATATTAGGACATTTACTTTAATTAGATGCGTATATTAAAAAAATAACCAGATAAAATAGCAAGTGGCTGATGATTTTATAATTATTATTTGGAAAATTTCTGAAAATAGAAGATGTCGGCCAGCCACCGGACCACTACCGCTAGTGGCCGAAACCCCCTGTCTTGTGACACCTGTCCACTGCCACAAGAGTGCCCGCCAGATGTTTATACTTGAACTGAAATTTGCTGATCTAGTCTGGCCTGATCTAGTTTGATCTGAACTGATATGATAAATGTCTGATCTTTGTGTATTTTATTACTATCCAAGTCTAATTTGATCTGATCTGAACTGCAAATAGTTCAAGTAAAAACATCCTCAGACTGTCGCCATCACTGGGATGTTTGAACTCTGAATTGGTTATGGCCTTATGGGGAACTAGGGGGCAAAAGATTCTATTAATTAATTATATTAAAAGTAAATATGTACTCCCTCCGTCCCAGTGTCCCACTAACAATGGGACAAGAGGGAGTGACACGCAAATCTATAAAAAGTGGTTTATGTGATTGATATTGAATTGATAAAGTAAGAATGATTTCGAGCCACGCAAACTTTACCAAATAAGATATGAGACAATTTTAGTGGGACGGAACAAAATGAGACAATCTTAGCGGGACGGGGATAGTAATATTTATTCTTATATAAAAAAAATAAAATATGGAATCCTATTTCATGAAAACTCCTTATATTTAGATATTCATGTACTATATACTCTATCATTTTTAATGCACAACTTTGATTTAACTTCTGTCTAGATTTTTTTGGAAGAACTTCTGTCTAGAAAGTAGAAATAGTACCCCATATTTGTACACTTCTGTCTACATTTTTGTTATTATTAAAAATGATTTCCAAAGTACGTGGTATTTTTTATTTATGGAAGATAGTTTATACTACATAAGAAAAAAAAATTAAAGTATATCTAAATGCAAATACATACACAATTCTTTCATTATTGAATATATGTGTGCCTACCATGTAATAACTGAAACAGCAAAAAAAATATTTGACCAGAAATTGCCGAGGAGCCGATCCTAACCGGATCTGACTCAATGCCGACACACCCCGGTGCAATTCCGGTCCCCCCTCCAACCAACCCCCACCCCTCACTAACTAACCAAACTCCAGAAGATGTATTCCCATCTAATACATTGATTAAGCATTAGCTGAAGTAGATCATCATTCTCTCTAGGCCATGGGCATAGTGTTGTGTAAGTCTTAATGAACCATTACAGTATATGTTCCTTAATGTGATAAGAGTTTTGACATGGACAGGTCAAGAGATTACTAACGGGGTTATGATCTCCACCAGGGAGATCCAGCCTCATAAAGGTGGTCTCCATCATCATCATCCCATGAAATTTGGCATGCCTGAAGGCCAACAGCAATACTAGGCTCCTTTCCATGCTGAGCAATCCACTCTTCCACAGCAAATGATTTATCATTTTCACTTGTGTATTCTTTACCACTTTTTCCATATGGGTTACACCCTGGACAATTCATCTCGGCAATAGCAGCAGGCATATACATTGAATCGCCCACTATAGGTGCAAAACAGGCTGCTAGTTGGGCTCGAATCTGTAAGTGGCAAAGTAACAATTGATAAACATAGTTTACCTAGTTATGAATATTTTCAAATAAAAACCAAACCCTTTTTGTCACCAAGTGTTTGTTTAAATTACCAAATAACACAGGAAACACATGCCAACTTACGAAACAGGCATGTTAAAAATGGAGAGAAGCCAAAAGAAACAGAATTGAAAAATTAAACCTGATGCGTCCGACCAGTCAGAAGGTTAATTGTACACTCATATGCAAATTCCTTTGAGGGCCATCCACCATTTTCAATATTGTATTCCCTTTCAATTGAACTCCTGGGCCAGGGTATCTTCTTGCATTCCAAAACCTCAAGTTTGCACATTTGCCAACCTTTTATAAAATCTGCACAGCATGATTATGATGTGATTAAATAATATTGGTGGAAAACGCTGAAGTAATAGATGAGCAAATTTTGAATGGTCTGAATAACTTCATCTTAAATTTCTCCCTTTCAAAAATGGGAACAGATAATCAGATAAGACCATTTAAGGATGATATGTGAAATGTATTTTAGAACCCCTTCTCTTTAAATCTGGTGATATGAATATTTTAAGGAACTTGTCTGTGAAAGTCAAACTAGGATGACAATATCCATACCTTCAGAAATAATTCTTGGGGCAGAATTAATGGGACGCATGTAATGTGTAATTATCCCGGTTGGAACAGGTGCAGTAGCAAGAGCAACATAAAGTTTTTTCACCTTTTTTTCCTGGACAACAAAATTTAGTTTCACTTTAAGATAGAAGAAAAATAAATGGAAACAGCAAAGCCCAATTTATTGTTAAAGCACAAGCAGACATCTCACACGTGACCTATGGATACAAATTGTAACTCTTGTCTACATCTCGAAATATATATCAACTGACCCTGATTTTTCCATGGAACACTGAACAGTACTCCTTCATTCGAGCCAACACAACACTGAAAAATTATGGAAAACAATCTTTAGTCTTCAGTCTTCCCTTCTTCACATCTAGGAGCAATAAAAAGATACTCCCTCTGTTTCATATCAATGTTCCCACTTTCTTTTTTAGTGTTGTTCCAAATTAGTGTTTCCATTTTCTATTTAGAAATGGTTACCCAGTACAATATTATCTTTACTTTTCCACCCACCCACACTACTCGCAAAGATTTCCTTTACATGTCTTTCTGGTCTCTCTTCTCTATGCCCTACACTGGCTACCCACTACTAGGGGTGGTTCGGTACGGTATACCTTATATTTTTTCTCATACCTTTGCCATACCAAAACTTTCGGTATGCAAAATTTGCATACCTTTACCTTACCGAAGTTTCGGTATACCGCATTTCGGTATACCGAAGTTTCGGTTCGGTAACGGTACGGTATCGGTAAATTACCGTGCATGTCTCCCAATACAAAAAATTATCATAGACTAACGAAATATACTAAATCGTTATTACTAGCGACATATTAAATCTATTATTAAAATGTTACGAAATACAATTAATAATCTATTGATGTCAATTCAATATTGAACAATAATTATTATTAGTATATTTAAGCAGTTCAACATACCACATATTAAAAAGTAACACATTCTCCTAAAATAAATTGAACAATATAGATATAATTAAATCAATAGTGATCTCTAACAAAAATAAATAAAACTATTCAAACAACATGGATATAAAATCATTCATAATTTTTTAAAAATTGAATAAGACTTTCGGACAAAGTTGTGTGTCTCGACTCGCTGAATCCCTATGTAGATACACTTGTCACATAAGTGTATATATCTTCACTCGTCAGCTACTTAGCGGCCCAACCATCACGACTTGCAAGCTCTTGGAGCAAGATGGACATGTTTCTTGACATTTGTACATTACTCATTAGTTATTTAAGATTAGCGTAGTAGAAGCCTATAAGGTTATAGTGGGTTTGAGAAATTGAACCTTTATTTTTGTATTTTTGTATTTGTAACCAACTTAAATATTAATTTTGGGCTTCAAAATTGTAATGGATTTCTACAATATATTAGAATTAAAAGTAATTGTTGAGTAGGGAGTCGGTACGGTATTATACCGGTATACCGCGGTATTTGAAAACATGTACCGTTACCGTACCGAAATAGACTGGTACGGTATGATACCGTACCGAAAATGACGGTATACCAATATTTCGGTATTTTCCGGTATTTTTCGGTACGGTAAGTGCGGTATACCGATATTTCGGTATTTTTGCCCACCCCTACCCACTACCACTCCCCTTGAAATTTGTTCCAAAATGAGGAGATAATAGTAATATGAAACACATGGAGTAAAACTAAATGCAAAACTATACCATCCTTCCGTACAATTATCAATCTGATGAGTAGTAAGCAATGTAGTAGGTAATCCCAATGCACGAGTAGCAAATGTGGCACAACTTTCTTCAATGTTATCTGTTGTTCCTCCAACCTAACAAAGTTGGTAGAGCACTGAGTAATAAAAACTGAAAACAAAAGAAGAGTTGCTATATACTATCGTATAATGAATAGTGATTGATGATGACAAACACAAAAAGAGGTCAAATATGTGCCGGTACCCATACGACAAAACTCACAAAAGTATGGGGGTTTTATAATCACTCTAGTGAAAAGCACAGTTAAAATGCCGCTTAAGAGCAGGTTTTGAGTTGTGCCTCACAGTGAGGCATTCAGAATAGGTGTTGACTGTTGATGCTTACACCCCAAAGGCCCACAGTCAAGGTGTTTGCCTTGGGGCGTGTCCTGGGCATTTTATTAGGTGTGAAATTTTCTTTTACTGTGAGACTGAAATTAATAATAAGACCCAAAAAGTAAACCTCCCTCAGATTTATGATATAGATTAAGCTTTGAAATACCCAAATTGTATCATTAGAGTCTTTTTATGTTAAGAACCTTGGGTTTCAAATGTTCCAGCTGTTTGTTTGTGTTTTTGAACTTTCATTTTAGACTATGGTCTATGATGTTGTGATCATTTCATGTGATTGTGTTTAACACTTCCTAGACTCATAGTTATGATTATCTTTAGTTGGAACTCGGTAGTTTAAGTATTAACAAAAACAGTTCATATACGTAGTACTTTGAGGCTTATGCCTCACCTTTCTGAAACAGACCACCTTGATAACTGAGCTAACCTTTTCAAACCTTGGTAAAAAGACATAGAAATGAGGAACAATAAGCTGATAGTTCAGGACTTCAGGTGGAATAAAGGGTTCTTTTTTATTATTTCAATTAAAGAATCAAAGCTTACTTATTTTCAAACATATCAGTAGCCATATTACAAATTTCAATTATACACTTATTGTTGAGTTCTCTACTTGCAAATATGGAGCATTATACATACAGATGTGCCAGCAGGTTTGTCCAAAACAACATAGGATTCGGTCACTGCAATAATTCTAGACTTCCAATCAATCTCGTAGCACCTGTTATTAAAACAAATCTAATAACACTACTAGTCTTCCTGATATAAAATACGTAGCATGAAGTATATGATAACAAAAAACATCATGTGTACATGTACTGTTAGATAATTACCTAGGAAAGCGTTTTGGGTGTACATGCACCCGTAGGTAAGTTCCAGCTTCGAGGATGTGGTTAGCAGAACTTATACGGAATGTTTTCTGTGCTTCCCTGAACGTTTTACCTTTAACCGATTCTCTCTTTTTTAACACTGATGGAGCAGTAACTTCTTCATATAATTTAGTTTGCTCAGATGTTGCAGTGGGAGGAGGCTTTGGGCATACTAAAGCATAATATACAGCTCCAAAATGAATGAGATCTGTCACATATCTTTAAGATTAAGATGAAATTATTGTGTAAAAGACCAGTCTTACATATTCTACATTAAAACAAATATATAACAATTGGTAATGTTAAATTATAGTGTGTGGTAAAAAAAGAAAACATACAATCGAGGCAGATCCAATGTTTCACTAATGTACTCCAAAACAGTGCATTCCTTCATGACCACTAAGTGCTCCACTCTGGGAGGTAAATTTTGTAAGGGGCATGGAAGCAAGCGCTCATATTTAAGTGGGCTGAAACAAAATCAGGTCAAGTTATCACATAAAAGTTGACATCTTTAGATCAAATTTAGAAATAGAAATGAAGTGGCTGAATGAGTGTGAAAGGCACGGTATCAGTTGAGTGAGTGGATATTTAGTTTATTTACTATTCAAAGTTTCCAATTGAACAATTTGCAAATGAATCATTTTCAACAAAGCTACCATATTACAGTTTAATTGCTCAAAAGAGGGAAACACTTTCCACCACCCATGTACCATGTACAAGGAAGTGATAAGAGCGGAAATAAAAGAATACCGATTAGAGGAAGAAGTGCAAGAAACATTGTTGGGATCAGATGAAGCAGATAAGGTGAAACTGAAGCTTCTGATCCAAGCAGAAAGACCCGGTATTTGTTGGTAACTTTTTACGAGCCACCAGCTTGAACGCACAACAATAGACGAAGTTCCAACGTCTCTGCGCCATCTTGGAGTCCATAAATTTGAAGAAAACTTACAGCTGGTGAAGAATGAAATGATGTTGTCATTTAGTGGTTTAACAAAAGGTTTTTTGATAAGCTTTCGGATTTCAGGTTTTACAAAACCATATGCACAATAATGGTTCCCACCTAAAATACTCAAATGTATGAACTTGGACTGAAATTTTCTGGTCTGGTCTAAACTGGTATGGTCTGATTTGGTAGATGTTTGGTCTCTCTGTATTTCACAACTTTCATAGCCTTGTCTGATTTGTTTAAGTCTGGTCTACTCAGTGCTCAGTGTAGTCAACAGCAAGCGCCGGGGCGCTTAAGCACACCAGGTGAGGGCACAACAACCCAAGCAATTGAAAGAATGCCAAGCGCACCAACCTGCCTTAGGCACTAAAAAGCACTCGATTTAATCGCCTGAGGGAGGAAACACGTTTCAAACTAAAATATATGTTCGAGAGTATTTTAAATAATAAGCCCATATTTTTAGTAAGATAAAGCCCACGTTTTAAAGGTGAAAGCTACGTTAAGCCTCCTTAAGCATTACACTAAGTATCGCTACAACTCTCCTATGCCCTGATCTACTCATGCTACCTCCCAGCTTTGAAAGCACAACTCAATGATCAACCACAGAAGCTAGTAGCACTCAATGATAAACTACAATAAGTTTTCATCTTCTTCATCGTTCCATTTTCTTTCTTTATTTCTGTGTTCAGCATTACTTCTTCTTATATACTCTATGCAACTGAAACATGTATACTACCCATTAACCAGTCTATCGGGTATAACACTCTTCTTCATTGTTCCATTTTTTTTATTCTTTCTTTTTTCAGCATGTACTTCTTATATATACTCTATACAACTCAAACATATATATGTAACTCTGCTCTTATTATATAATATTTCCATTCATGTACACTGTAACTCTATTTTTTCTTGGTTCATCTTATTAATATTTTCATTAATATATGTATAATCTAATCATGGAATACTTTCATAAAGTATATATAATATCTGCCGTGTGCTTTTACAAGACATGGAAAGCAGAACTTCAACTGTGGGTCCAGAAACATGACTTTTTAATGCAGTTGGTTTGATATGATGTTATGTACATCATGTTTGATAATTCTAGAATAGTATATGTAATATTTTCTAAGTAATGCGCCTGAGATTAGTCAGGCGAGCGCTCTTTAGTGCTTTACGCCTCAGGCAATAGGATTACTCTAGCACCTTGAGTGTGCCTCACAACTTTGACTACCTTGGGTCTACTTAAGTCTGGTCTCTAGAATTAAAACCAGTCCAATTAAAAACATCTTAATTACAAGACGTGAACACGCACAAAGAGTTGCACGATAGTCAAATAAGAAAAGATTGTCACGGACAGTTTTACTCATGTGCACTCACATGCTCATAGGAGTTTAGAACACACGCAGTATGTTTAAAAGTATTCCAGGTGGCGAATAGAATTCACCAAGCAGCAGTTTGTACACGTTATTGGTAACCAACTTCACACGTTCACCCTACCATGTCTGAGTTAACCACTTGCTACTAAGGCATATAATTTCTGCTACATCATAAAAAATCACAGTAAAAATGTACAATGAGAAAGTGTGAAGGTCCTTCAACACAAATTTGTCAACAAAGTCTATCCATATTAATAATATGTAAATGTAAATACAACTTGTCAACAAAGTCCAAGAGCTTAACACACCAAGAAGAAATCGGGCGCTTAGGGTACAACCAATCTGTTCATATAGTTTGCCTTGCTACAATCATAACAACTAGACTAATTCCTTAGAATGTATTTTGCATGATGTTGAGGTACAATCTAGTTTTTATAAACCGTATGTAATACTGAATGTCTCAATTATTGTTGTGAGATAAAATAATTTATTTCTTAAAGTTTCATGTCTATAATTTTAATATTTTTAATACTACGTATGTTTATTTAGTTACCCATGCAGAGTACGTCTGCTAGAATTATAGTATGAAACTTAAGATGACATTTTAATTACATGTAATTATATGTATGAGTTCAACAATGTTGTGACTATCAATGATGATGCGGGGTAGGCTCCCACCTACAGGAATAAGGGGGGTCGGATGTCCACATTATTACAGTGGAGTAATAATTTACTCTTATTTAGTAAATTGAATACCTTAAATAAAAATGCTGGCTGCAACAATCTAAAATAGTGGAAAGTTGCTGATTTTTTCTGCATTTTAAATCCAGGCTACAGGTTTTAGGGAGCAATCAGAATAAGAACCAGGTAGTAGGTTAGGCAGCATTGGAAATCGGAATTCAAAAGCCAGATTGAAGGTTTCAATATTGAATGTTCAATATTCACCTCAACAAAAACCTCAAACTCTGGAGATAAAGGTGAAATCAAAAAAATAACGAAAATAAAACTGAAAATAAAAAACTTACCTGAAATGGGAAGACTTGAGAATTGCTGGTTGCAGAGTCGAAGTATTAGGCCAGCGAACACCTCATGTTCTGCCACAGCAGACGATTGGCGATGGGCGACCGGAATTTGAAAGGGCCTAAGGCCTGCCACTCCCGACTTCGACTTGGACTCCCGAAAGGCCTCTTGCCCAAATAACATTTGTGTTCGGGCCTAGCACTCACTAGCCCAAGGCCCAATAATCTCTCTCTGATTTCATATGTATCGCAAATGAACTAGTAGGGATTGGGTAGTAGGGGTTAAGCTAGTAGGAGTTCAAAATAGTAGGGATTGAAACAGTAGGAATTCAAAATAGTAGGGGTTGAACTAGTAGGGGCTGAACTAGTAGGGGTTAAGCTAGTAGGGGTTCACGATAGTAAGGGTTTAATTAGTAGGGATTGAGTTAGTAGGGATTCAAAATAGTAGGGGTTAAACTAGTTGGGATTAGTTTAGTAGGGGTTCAAAATAGTAGGGGTCGAATTAGTAGGGGTTGAGTTAGTAGGGGTTCAAAATAGTAGGGGTTGAACTAGTAGGGATTGAGTAGTAGGGGTTAAGCTAGTAGGGGTCTACGATAATAGGGGTTGAACTAGTAGTGATTGGACTAGTAGGGGTTCAAAATAGTATGGATTGAACTAGTAGGGATTGGGTAGTAGGGGTTAAGCTAATAGGTGTTCAAAATAGTAGGGTTGAACTAGTAGGGATTGGGTTAGTAGGGGTTCAAAATAGTAGGGGTTAAACTAGTAGGGATTAGGTTAGTAGGGGTTCAACTCCTACTATTTTGAACCCCTACTAGCTTAACCCCTACTACCAAATCCCTACTAGTTCAACCCCTACTATTTTGAACCCCTACTAACTCAATCCCTACTAATTCAACCCCTATTATCGTGAACCCCTACTAGCTTAACCCTACTACTCAATCCCTACTTGTTCAACCCCTATTAAATCAATCCCTACTACTTCAACCCCTACTATTTTGAACCCCTACTAGCTTACCCCTACTACCTCAATCTCTACTAATTCGACCCCTACTATTTTGAACCTCTACTAAACTAGTAGTTGCTATAAATATATTCTCATGGTCATCATTACGCTAAACAAATTCAACATATTTGTAGTCACTAAGAGTTACTAAATCTTCTTTATCCACTGTGATTATAATCATATATTAGGAAATATTTTATTTATATTCAATTATTCATATACTATATTAATTTTATAATAAAACTAATTGTTTCGGGTTTTTTCGGTCTGGGCCGGGTTATAGATTTTAAGGCCCGTTAATGAGCACGGAATTTTCGGTTCGGTCCAGTTTTTTTTTTTTAATTCGGGCCGGTTAAAAAGAAAAAACCCGGACCGGGATCATAATTCGGGTCGGTCCAGGGTCGGTTTCCGGGTTTCGGTTCGGTTTTTCCCACCCCTAAATTATTGTACTCCGTATTTCATATTCATATACTATTTTTTTTTTTATATTTATGCACTTTTTCGGTAATATACTTTTTCATACATACACCTTTTTAGTAATATATTTTTATCTCTTTTATATATATTTTAGTGAATTTTTTAGACATTAAGTTTGTTTATTTTCATATTTACATTTGATAATACATGAAATTGCATTTTCATATGTGCGATTTGCATTTCTATATATGTGTGTTACACTTATGCAGGATTCATGAAATTTCTTTTGAAAATACATTGAGTAACATTTATATGTGCGCGAGTTACATTTTTGTATGCGTGAATTACATTTATATGTGATCATCTAGATTTTAATTTGTCTCAAGTTACATTTCAATTAAAGCAATTACATTTCGACTTATCTTACCAAGCGTACTTGAAAATTTCAGTTAAAAAATTCCATTTATGCATTTGAATTTCCTATTGTCAATCATGAGTAAAACGATCAAGGATTTAATTAATAAATGATTAATTATATTATTAACCAGACTTGTGTTATATGGACGGATTAAGAAATACTAAATTGGATTATTTTATTGGTTATAGGAGCCCAATATAATATATAGAAAGGTTCATAATCCATTTGAACCAAATGACAAATGTTGGGCAGTCCAAAAGCGTATTTGGGGCGCAGCTTGTCAAAAATAGTAAGAATATCGGGGGGGCTCCCTAGATCCATTTGGGGTTATGCTACATGTGTTATAGACTCCAAATAAATAATATAGGGGCTAACATTATTGATATATTCGGACAAAGGGCCAAGGGAACCCCAAGAGACAAAAACAAACTCTCATGGTCGCATTTTTGTCATTATTGAGTTAAATTAAGGGCGGAGTAAGGTTCTTCTCCCACGGTTGTACACCATATAAATTATTGGAATCGCCCTATATATTAGAGACCAATAATATGCATGATGTAAAAGGTTACCGGTTTGGCTAGATATTTCGAACAAGTACAAGAAAGTACTACACATGACATAAAGACAGAACATTATGACTCATCTTTCCATTCTTGAAAGTATTAGTAAATATTTTCTCCCAAATTGAATTGGGAATGGTGGGGGGCGTCCCATATGACTTACAAGCCTGGAAAATAATTGAAAGAGTGTATGATTAGCATATGCGGTTGGAAAAAAGAAATGAGTACTGAACAAGACAAAAGGGGGGAAATCAATTGGCCCACCATTTCATTATTGATAGATATTTATCTCTTATTCTTACTGTGATCCATACAATTGAGGGGAGTTGTTCCACACGTTTTTTAGAATAAATAATGATAAGAAAACGCTGACTCTTAGCTAGAAAGGACGAAGGGATCACATGTGAGCTCCCATAGACAAAAAGGACACCAAAGGAAGGGCCACTATATGCAGTTATGTACTAATACGTAGGGGTGATGTTTCCCCTATCATCGGAGCTATCCTCGACCAAAATGAATGAGGGAACAAGGTGTCCTTGGAAATCTGGAGAAAAGCTCTGTCCACGAGCTTCAAGTTTGGGGAGGAAAGGAGTCCACACAAACATATAGGAGAGGGGATAGGGGACTGCATACAACCTCGCACAGTGTGAGTGATGGTTTTCTTCGCCCCATATCTTGAGAACCCCTTATCCAGTTTGGTATTTTGAGTTGTCTTTGAAAAGGTATTGAAGAGAGATTTCATAAAAGGTGCGATTATGGAGAATTGGGGGAGTTTAGATCCCAAAGTGGATGGATATAAATCAAGGTAAGAATCTGGATCACAAAACAGTGTATTTGATTCAAAATTATTCCAGTGATTGTTACTCGTATTTCTTGAGCCCCTCTCAACCAAATGGAACATGTAAGGTGTCTATGGAAACCTCTTAAAACGTAGTTTCTGGGAATGTGCAGCTTTGGATGAGAGGATAAGAGGAAGGTTTTCAAATCGATCAAGACAAACTCGCATTCGCAAAACGGTTTTTCTTCTTTAGTGTAAGCTCGAACCCAAAAGTTGTCACTTCATTGTTTAAATCATGTGAACGACTAGGAAAGGTAGTCTACACGATTAGAAGTGTAGAATATGTTCTTGAGTGTGTATTTTCATGGTTTTAAGAGTTAGGTAATAACCTAGAATGATCCTTGAAAAGATACAGATTGTACTCACCGGAAAACACCCCTCTAGGGGACCGTTTTCATACATTTTGCTAGGGCATGAACTACCACTCGGGGGAGGCTGTATAGAATCCATTTTTTAGCAAGGAATCAATATTCAATCGCCCTTGGTCGCTAGATTGAAAGAGGGCAGAATAGAACGATCATGATATACCGGAGAGTGCTTTCAGCACAAGGTATGGTCACTTTGAGTTCCTAGTTGTGTCGTATGGGCTATCAAATGCTCCGACGGCATTCAGGTACGTGATGAACCGAGTATTTCATAACTACTTAGATCATTTTATAACGTATTCATAGATGACATTTTGATTTACTCAAGGAGTGAAGAAGAGCATGAGAGGCACTTGGTCCTGGTTCTTGAAACACTACGAGAGAAGCAACTCTATGCTAAATTTTCTAAGTGTGAATTTTTGCTTAGAGAAAATGGCTTTCTCAGGCATGTAGTTTCTGAGTCAGACATTGCCATAGACAACCAGAAGATTGAGGCTATCACAGAGTGGGAGAGGCCTTAGAACGTGAAAGAGATTCATAGTTTCCTTGGGCTAGTGGGGTGCTATAAAAACTTTGTGGAGAAGTTCTCTGTTTTGGAATCACCATTGACAAAGATCACTTAAAAAGGGGCTCGGTTTGGGATGACCAATGTTAGAAGAGATTATTAGAATTGAAGAAGGGATTGACCGAGGCACCGATACTCGCCCGACCAAAACAGGGTAGGGAATACAATGTCTATAGTAATGCGAGCATCCAAGGACTTGGATATGTGTGATGAAAATGGAAAAGGTGATTGCTTATGCTTCACGCCAGTTGAAGAAACACGAGGTAACTTATCCTACTTATGAATTAGAATCAGGGGCAATGGTGTTTGCACTGAAGATATGGGGGCAATATCTCTACGAAGACACTTATCATATATACACTGACCATAAGAGTTTGCATTGTGCATTTACTCAGAAGAGTTAAACATGAAATATAGGCGGTGGATGGAGATAATAAAAAAATACCATCTAGTGATAGATAACCACTAGAGTAATCTACTGATACCCTTACTCGATTGAGTTTGCCCATGGCATTGCTAACCAGCTTGAGAGCATTGAGAGCTCAACTAGAAGTATCTACCGGCGGCGCCTTAGTGGCAAGGGCTGGAATGTGGCCTACCTTACTGAATGAGATAAAAAGGGTCAGGGAACTGATAAAGAGCTTAAGAAGGTCCGAGAAGGCATGTTAGTGGGATCAGGGGAGGATTTTCGTAAGAGAAAAGACAGTCTCTTGATATTACGTGACTGTGTGTGTGCCATCTGATGATGGGCTCCGAAAGTCCATCTTAGAGGGACTCACTCATCAGTGTATGCCATACACCCAGGAGGCACGAAGATGTACAATGAGATGAAGTAAAGTTACTCGTGGTTTGGTATGAAGAGGGATAGCTAATGTATCAGTCGATGTCTTATTTATCAACAAATCAAGGAATAACATCAACACCCAACATGCTAGTTATAACCACTTTCCATCCTTGAGTGGAAGTGGAAACCCGTGACTATAGGATTCGTGGTA